AATGCAGCCCACAGGCTAAATGTTCCCCACCCCTGTTCTAAAGGCTGATGAATTAGGCCTACTCTGAACTGGCCTTCACTACTCAGTTGTTTGGTGCTACTAATTGTTTGGTAACTGAAAATTTGGTTTTGAAATCTACTATATTGCTAGCCCACAACCTTCCACAAGATCTCAAATAGAACGTTTTTAAATTTTGAGAGCTTCCAAAAGAATTCTCACAAGATCAGCTATAAAATGGTTGTTGTTGTTGTTAAGTGCCTTCAAGTTGGTTCCAACTCATTGCCACCCTGTATAGGGTTTCCAAAGAGCGCAAGGAACTGCTATATGACGCTCAAGAGCATTTAGCAACAACAGCATTATGATTCTATGAATGAAGAGAACCTCTGGGAGAGTCACTTTGTTAAAAATAATAGTTCCAGTACAAAGTCTAGAATCAGAAGTATCTGTTGGTTTCTTCCTCATTGACTTTAGTGGTTGTTGCATAAGTTTCAATAATAGTTGTATTAATTAGTCTTGCTGTTAGCCATACAGATATCAATCTATCATAGACAGCACTGCCAAGACAGTTCTTGAACTGCTCTTTCTGATGAATGCAACACCATTCCTCTTCAATTTGTCATTCTCGGCATAGTAAACAATATGATTGGTTCAAAATGGCCAATTCCATTCAATTTAAGCTCACTAATGACTAGGATATCAATCTTTATGTGTTCCATTTCATTTTTGACAATTTCTAATTTTCCTAGATTCATACTTCAGACTTTCACATTCTGATTATTAATGGATATTTTATAGTTATATCTTCTCATTTTGAGTTGTGCCTGAACAGCAAATGAATGTCCTCAAAGCTTTGATCCATCCACTTCCTTACGGTCAATTCTACTCTGAGAAGGCAGTTCTTCCCCAGTAGTATTCTGAGTACCTTCTAACCTGACAGGCTCATCTTCCAGCGCAATATCAGACAATGTTCTGCTACTATTCATAAAGTTATCAATGGCTAACCTTCAGAATTGGTCTACCTCTCTTTAGTCTAGGCTGTCTTAAGTCTGAAAGCTTGGCTGAAGCCTATCTACCATTGGTGACCTAGCTGGTATTTAAAATACCAGTGGCAGAGCTTCCAGCATCACAGCAGCTACCTATTTGGTGATGAGTAGACAGAGAAAAGCCAAAATTCCATCTAGAAAACTGTTCTGAATCCACTGTAACCGACACAAATGAATGATCGAAAAGTCTGAAATGCTCAATTCAATGGTGATAATATTGAATAATCATTACTTTGATGGCTATGAAAATTGCTTTGCTTCAGACAAAGGGAGATGCCTAAGAAATTAAAAAAAAAAAAAAAAACCACTTCAAAGATATTTTATAAAAATTTTAAATATGTAAAATAATAGGAACAATAAAGTAATAGCTCAGAACTAAGTAAAGTACTATGAAAGGGTTTTAATTTGTGATAGTATACCACTATAAAGAGATAAAAAGGAAAAAATGTTACATTGAATATATGACTCAGGTTCCATGTATAGACACACACTTGAATTCTAACAGTCTGCTAAAGCTAGTCTATTCTTGATGACAATTAAGAGCATTACTAAATCATGATGAATTGAGTTCTGGTGTGGCACTTAACTGCTAACAGTAATGTTGGCAGTTCAAATCCACCAGTAGCACTTCAGAAACCCTATCCAGGGTCACTAGGAGTTGGATCCAACTCAATAGCACTTAGGAACTACAATTATAGTTCCTTGTTATGTGCTGTCAAGTCCGTTTCGACTTATAATGACTCTGTATAGGGTTTCCAAGGAGCAGCTGGTGAGCTTGAACTGTTGACCTTACAGTTGAAACTGACCTTGCAGTTGAGTGCATTAACCCACAGTGCCACACCAGAACTCAGTTACACTAGAAAAAGTAATTATTTGGTTTCTGTCGATCTAAATGGTGATGTGATCACCAAGGCCAGTTGCCACATTACTGACATCAATATCCATGTGAACCTCTTATTTTGACATCTTGTTGTTGTTGTTGTTGTTATGAGCCGTGGAGTCGGTTCCGACTCACAGCAACCTTGAACAGGGTTTCCAAGGCTGGGAATCTTTACGGGAGCAGAAGGCCTCATCTTTCTCCCACGGAACAGCTGGTAGTTTCGAACTGCTGAGCTTGTGGCTCACAGCCCAATTTGTAACCACTACGCTACCAGAGCTCCTTGACATCTTAGGGAGATCCAAAAATATAAAATAATCCAAGGCAGCAACCTAAGCACTTTAAAAGTATTTCCTAAAGACTGTTGAAATGGCAAATATTAAAGATTTCTGGTGTGGTGCTGCAGGATAAAGCACTGGACCACAAAGTCAATTAGAACTGCACTGTCGTGGTTCAAATCTACCAGGCACTCCTCGGAAACCCTTCACAGGGTTGCTAAATGTCAAAACCAACTCAACGGTACATAACAACAACAACAACATATTTATAAAGGAGCCCTGTTAGTATAGCAGTTACGAATTGGGCTACTAATCTCAAGGTCAGCAATTCGAATCTACCCATGGTTGCTATGAACTGGATCCGACTCCATGGCACACAACCCACCATGTATTTATAAGACGTATAGTCAGAATGTTCCTTAGAAGCAAGGATGGTTGAGACTTCTTCACATGTACTCTGGACATGCCATCATACCAGGAAGGACTAGTCCATGGAGAAGGACATCATGTTTGGCAAAGTCAAGAATTAATAATAACTGGCCGCAACACTGAGCTCAAACCTACCAATGATTGTAAGGATGGTGCAGGACTGGGCAGCGTTTCATAAAGACCCAACAATAACTACTAACAATATGGACTTAGCAAAATTTTTGAAAATGTAAAAAGAAAATAATTTCTTTTAAGAAAAAGGCAACCACAATCTGGAAGGGAACACTACATGAGATCCTTGTTGCAACCTGTATATTCTGAAATGGTACCTACAACTGAAAGCTGAAATTAGATCACCCTTAAAGAGGAACTGTCAGGCTTGATGCCATGCTCTTGTTAGTATGTCCTTCACAACATAGTTCCTCTGTGGTACAAATGGTTAAGTGCTCGACTACTATGTAAAAGGTTGGTGCAAAACCACTGAGAGGCACCATGGAAAACAGGCCTGGTGATCTACTTATAAAAGGTCACACCTTTGAAAACTCTATGAAGTAGTTCTACTCTGCATACATGAGAGTCTAAATTCAGTTTTCATGAATGATTAAAAAAACAGGAAGTACTCAGCTTATTTAAAAGATAAAACATCAGTTACAATCAACAGAATATGTAAAAAAGCATTGTCATTTTACTTTAACATCATTTAAAAACTGTATCTCCTCTAATTGAAACTTTTCCTAATTATAGGAGAAGTTCCATAATTTCCTCAACACCTCACTTGATCTAGATTTCTTACCTGGGTTGCCAAACTCAAGACCTGCTGGACCAGCTCCTGCGTTTCTGATGGCTTCTTAAGAAACAGCTTCACGATGGCAGTAAGCAGAGTGAGCTGTACCTAAACAGACATCATTGAGTTATTCTAGGCCATTCTGTTTTGCTGGGTTTTAACAAAGGTTAAAATTCAGTCAATATCAGCAATAGCTGTTAAAGGTATTCATCTATTGAAACCTCACTAGTCATCTGTCCTCATATTGAACTTTTGGTGCCAAAGCTTTTTTTTTTTTTCCCCTTCCCTGAGCCAGATAAGCATATGCCATATTCCTTAAAGTACATGCTAACTGATGGACATTAAACTGGTTCCTGACCAAGTCCTTCATTATTTACTTCCAAACAAAAGATCTAACTTTGGAGGAACTATCAAATCATGTATTATATTGGGGCAATAGCCAAGACAGAATGTTTTAGATCACAATTAGGAGTGGGCTACTGGACAACAAGGAGGGCCAGAAGCACCACTAAAGACCTTGTTAGAAATGCAAAGTATTAGACCCTGTGACAGACTTCCTGAGTCAGAAACTCTGAAGATGGGGCCCAGAAGTCTGTGCTTTAGCAAACCCTACAGAATTTTTCAGATCGTCACTAAAGTATAAAGACCATTGATCGAAATCATGTAGGACAATTCTACACAACTTGGTAGAACTAAAAAAGGTCATCCCCTTTGGGAGAAAAATGAACATAAATACACACACACACATAACATACACTCTTTCTCTCTCTTCTCCCCTCCCCCCATACAAATACACATATAAACACATGCTGTATATAAATACATATATTTAAGTAAATGCCTAACCATGACTTTCATTGAAATCTTCCTAAAGAGATCGAAGACATAGGATGTAGAAGAGAACTTACCTGGGTACTTTCATCATGGAAACCCTCCAGGAAGCTCTCTAGTAATTCATCAGCATTGTCAATTCTTTCAGCGTATTCTCCCACGATCCAAATCATAGCTGCTCGAGCATCTGGTTCATCCAGTGAGTCTAAGTTCTCACACAGAGTAGCAATGATACTTTCATATCTGATATAACAAAAGTGACTAGAATTACTGAAATCAAACTGAAGCACTGTATAGTTAACAGTGAAGTTACAAGCACAACTACAGACAAGGTACCCTAAATCAAACGACCTAATTTCTAAGGCTTTTAGTCAAGAGAATGTTCACATTTTAAAATTAGAAAATTAAAATTCTTCAATTATGTAATTAGACCTTAAATCTACAAAAGCTCATCAAATATTTATTTCACAAAGAAACACAAAACAAAAAAAACCCTGTGGAATAAAATAATACCAACTACCTAGCATTTATAACAATCTTTCTTATAACTGCTGTTGTTAAGTGCCCTTTAGTCATTTCCAACTCATATCGACCCTATATACGGTTTCCAAAGAGCAGTTGGTAGGTCTGAACCATCAACCTTGCAGTTAGCAGCCGCCCAGGGCTTATCCTACAGTGCCACACCAGATCTTATAACTAGACAGAGAAATTCCATTTTGTTTTTAGGAAAATGAAGTTAGACAACAACAGTTTCTCAAGTAGAAACAGTTACTTTGTCTCTTAATCCACCTATATGGTTTTTTTTTTTTATGGAAATCTTCATTTTCTTTCTTTCCAAGGTCCCTCATACAAATGACTTATTTCTCCTAAGAAACAAGTATTTCAAATATTGATGTTTATAGATTTATACGCTCTCATTTTTACCATGTTGAATCCATATCCATGACTAATATTGTTTTAAATTAGATTTCACAAATGACATGAAATAGTAATTTATATGTAGACAACTCAATAGTGAACTTAATTGTCTGCCTTACTTCCATTGATTAATATTGTTTTAAATTAGATTTCACAAATGACATGAAATAGTAATTTAGATGTAGACAACTCAATAGTGAACTTAATTGTCTGCCTTACTTCCATTGATTAAACCAGTCTCTTGGTAGTTCTTTCTTAAAATTAAGTTGTCACAAGTCTTTATTAACATATACAGGAAATAGATACATTTCTCTGAAAATTATATACTCTTTAATCAAGATGTTCAGAAGTTCAAAACTCCCCTTTCCTGGGAGACTGGTAAACACAGCCAGTCCTCTATCCTAAAAAAGTACTGCCTTGCATAACTATTTCTATTAATTTCTGAGCACATTTAACAATTTAAAGACGAATCAAAAGCTTCAGCAGAAGATACTTCTGATTACAAAGCAAAATCAGATTTTAGATACTCACAATATCTGTTCTTTTTTCACTCTTCCAGATTTTTTTAATAGTTTGCTTTCAAGATCAAACCTAAAATAGTATCTTTGCTTCATACACTAAGAGTCCTCAATTTGGGAAATTTGTGGATATTGTGCCTATCTCTATGAACAGTTCTGACACTCCAGGAAAGACCAGAGACTAATAATTTATAGCTACATGGTCTATAATTTCCAGGAAGCACTAGGCAACACAATAGGTGAACAGTGCAGCTAGCTATCACCTTCCTGGCTTTAATGGCAGGGTGCTTATATAATTTATCTCTCAAACTAAGACATTTCTGAGAACAAAAAGGGACATATCATTAAAAATGCCTGGATAACTGCACACTGGGATTCTGCCTACATTCTGTCTAACCTGGAATATACAGTTAACCAACTGAATGGCAACTTTGCTAACTTCAAGATATAATAATAGGCAGTGTATACTCAGACATAGTTTTAATTCTTCTAAAACTAATCAAGTGAAAAATCTGATTTTAATTCCTGTGCTATCTTGTATGTTTGATTTTTAATAAAAGACCTTATTATGACCAATAACATTATAAAAGAACCATTCTCCTTATCTAATTGTAAAGTGCCTTACTTAAAACATAGAAATACATGACCATACTTGTTGGGGTACTTGCGGAAGATGTCCCTGATGACAACAATTGCCTCTTGAACCACATAATTTACTTTAGTCTGGATAAGATCAAGCAAAGTGCTCACACAGCGCTCTGCAGATTGCTGTAAAGAACATTAAAAAAGAAAAAAGAAATCAGGTGATCTATTTAATAATATTACCTAAACATTGAAAGAAAAACAAAAGTACAGGTGCATCAACTAATATAAAAGATCAGGCACTTAATTCAACCAAGAAATACTAAATGCTAGGTTATCTGGTATGTTGTTGTTAAGTTCCGTGGAGATGGTTCCGACTCATAGTGACCCTGCACAGGGTTTCCGAGGCTGCAAATTTTTATGGGAGTAGAAAGCCTCATCTTTCTCCTGCGGAAAAGCTGGTAGTTTCAAACTGCCGACCTTAAGGTTAGCAGCCCGATTCATAACCACTACGCTACCAGAGCTCCTTAGGTTATCTGGTATAGAAACACAGACATTCTATATATACTCAAAATGTTATTCATTACAAATATAGTGACAGATGAATCCATTCAAATGCAATGGACCATTTAGAATAGTTGGGAGAATAAAACTGAGAAGAGAAGGAGTTATAGAATAAGCCAAAGTAGGTGGTTCCTAGCTGGAGTTCATGGGCAAATGAAGAAAGCAAAGATGTCTTTGTTGTTGTTGTTGTTGTTGTTAAGTGCCATGGATTCGGTTCCAACTCATAGCGACCCTGCACAGGGTTTCCGAGGCTGTAAATCTTTACGGGAGCAGAAAGCCTCCTCTTTCTCCCGCGGAACCACTGGTAGTTTCGAACTGCTGACCTTGAGGTTCACAGCCCGATTCGTAACCACTACGCTACCAGAGCTCCTAAAGATGTCTTTAAACCTCTTGAAATTAAATTTCAAATGTCCTATGTGCATGCATAGTAGGATCTGATTTTTGTAAAACATACACCTGTGTATTCAAAGTACATTGACAAGGATTTTAATCATGTACACCAAATCATATACACAGGGATCTCTGGGAGAGTGGGTGGCAAGAGGCTATTTTATTTTTGTTTTCATTTTATTATGATTTCACACAGTGAATGGCTTTCCTAGTATGAATAATAAAAGTTTTGTTTTTTGTTTGTTTTTTTAATTAAGGAATGATACATAAATCAGCATTTTATCCTTAAAAAAGTAGAAATGGTAAAAATTAAGGAACAAAAGACTAGAAAGTGAAGAATTCACAATCTTCATGCCTTACTTCTCAAGCAAATAAAGTGGCTTTATTTGGAAACTAAGAAAGGTCAGGAGTCCTGGTGTGGTGCTGTGGGTTAATGCATCACACTACAAAGTCATTTGAACCGCAAGGTCGGTGATTCAAACGCACAAGCTGCTCCTTGGAAACCCTCCACAGGGTCACTAGGGGTCGGAATCACCTCAATGGCATTTAACAACAATAAAGGCCAGGGATTTATCTCCTCCTTAAAAAAATTGGCAAAAATTATGGGAGTGGGGGTGGAGGGTGGCAGGTGAGAAGTATTATGATATTGACTTTTCAGTGGTATATACTGAACAGTTTACTGCTGAATATTGAAACTAAGCAACTTGTAATATAACAAAATTATCATTTTTCACCTCAGGACACTTATAGCAACTAGTTGTTATTGTCATCAAGTCAGTTCTGACTCATAGTGACCCTGTATAGGGTTTCCAAGGCTGTAAATCTTTGTTGGAGCAGAAAGCCTCCTTTTTCTTCTGCAGAGCAGCAAGTGAGCCCAACCACTGACCTTATGGTTTGCAGTCCAGTACTTATCTTTGTTAATATTAGCTATGTGGCTATACCTGAATAAAATGGATGTCAAGTGTGGTGGTGATGGTTTTGTTCTGTGGAGTCAGTTTGCCTCATAGTGACCCTGTATTGGATTCCTGAGGCAGTCAATCTTTATGGGAGCAGAAAGTTTTAGCTATCTCCAGTAGATTCAAACTGCTGACCTTGAGGTTAGCAGCCCAACTCATAACCCACTATACTTCCAGGGCTCCTTATGTGAAGTATAGTGATTTAAAAAATATATAATGTATTCAGATCAAATAAAATAGACTGTCATTACTCAAACAGAGCAATAGAAGTGTATTACATATCTGAAACTACTGAGCTAGCAAAACCAGGAATTGAAAACCAGGATTAATTAACCTCTTGCTATAACCATTAGTCTAATAATGATTTATCAATGGTCTAACTACATAGAAGAAGCTTTAACTTGATGGAAAACAAGGCAGGCCAATTAGGAACTTGGCTTTCATAGAAGTTTCTCTGACATAGCATTTGTCTCCTTCTCTTCCTGTGACGAACTGGTCATACTGTAGAAATTATTTTAGTATCCTTGAGAAATCATATGGCCCAACACTTTGACTCTAAGTAGAATTATATATAATCAGCCAGCAAGAAAAAATATGAGGCTATGAACCCACAGTAATATCATGAACACAGGCCATTAGTAATTTCAACAAATTTATGAATGAGGGAAAAATAATGGAGGACCAGAGACTGGTAAAGCAGGGCAAGTAAGGTGCAGTCTGTAATATCTGCTGAAAGGCTACATTCAAGCTAGAACTCCATCTGTCAGTATCACATAGGAGCTCTTCAAGACACCTTCAAGTAAAGGTCAACACACTATCTACCCATGTACACAGACGCCCTAAGCAACTTTCCTATTTATTTTTAAAGATACATGGGTTATACTTTACAGATGACACACACCCCAATGTAAAAACGTTTTATATATTTACGTAAACATATATACACAGATGCTGTTGTTAACTTGTTAAGTACCATGGAGTCGGTTCCGACTCATAGTGACCCTGCACAGGGTTTCTGAGGCTGTAAATCTTTACAGGAGCAGAAAGCCTCATTTTTCTCCTGCAGAACAGCTGGTAGTTTCGAACTGCTGACCTTGCGGTTCGCAGCCCGATTCGTAACCACTACACTACCAGAGCTCCTTATACATAGATAGTACAGTGTAATATGCCAAAAATGATTTGCTGAGCCACAATCGTGCAAGGGATTGGTTAACTTCTATGCAAATAAAGGCTTAAAATGGAGCCCCTTGCAGTTTTCTGCTCAGGGACTGTTTGGTATTGCCAGCCCTCTGGATTATAAGGACCAATCCCACAGAGGTTTTGGAGGTACTTCATTATCATCAAGAAAAGTCTGAAGTCAAACGCATTCTTTGGGCACAAGGTCACTGTGTTGAGAACCTCCCAGACAAAGAAGAGAGAGAGCTGTTACCACTGAAGGCAGAGAGAGATGGCATCAAGCACAGCAAAACCCAGCAGGCAGAGAAATGATGGTAACTATATGAATGGTGGAAACTGGAGATCAGTGCTAAAACAGTGCAGAAAGCCTGCCTGTCCACAGAAAGAGCAAGCAAAATGCCTCCATGCAGGAGGCTTACTTACACAGCTAAAAAGCTGTAACACTTGTCCAAGCATGGCAGAGGCTGAAGGGTACATGGTACATGGTGTGTGGATTCAGCCCATGGGAGCAACCAAAAGATGGGCCTGAGAAAAAGGTATAGCTGAGACAAAGGTGTGGCCTATGGGCATGGCTGACAGAAGGGCCATCAAGGACCACCAGAGCTAGTATAGCTGAGGAGCTAGGAGCTATCCTGGTTGGAAACAGTCCTGATTGACAAAACTGATTCTGTCTTCTGAGTTATGTCCAATTACTTCCATGTTAATCTTGATCTCAAGGTGTACCCTGTTACTTACAAACCACATAACTTAAGTATGAGTTCAGTAAGGCCACTGCAATGAATGATCAAACCCAGCAGAGAAGCAGAGTGGTGGGGTTTGGTGGGGGCAGGGGGTGGGGTCTGGCTATATAAGAAATAGTGAAAAAGTTGGATGTAGGTATGTTTGATGTCTACCTCAGATGAACGAGTTCTGTGCTAATCCTAATCCCTCCTTCTGAACATAGCTAGGTCCTGATACTAGATTACAGAGAGGTAGATATTTATGCAATGCAACCATCATCATGTTGTTAAGTGCTGTCGAGTCAGTTCTGACTCATGGCATCCCTGTACAGGATATCCAATGAGCAACTGGTAGTTTTGAACTACCAATTTTGTGATCTGCAGTTCAGTGATCTTACAGCACCACACCAGGAGTCCTAACATCATCATATAATGCTCCAAATACCTGAATTCAAATTTCAGAAACAAAAGAAAATATTGTAATTCATATCCTCTGACATTCAAGCAGTTATTGCAACTATTTTCTGTTCTGTTTTGTTAAAGATTACTATGAAAAAAGTACCCAAAACATAAAAGAATAAAGAGAGGCTTTGTAGGATGACTTCACTGCTAATTATAAGGATTTTCAATGGCCAATATTTCAGAAACGGTCCTCCTTTTCCTTCATTCTTGTCTTAGTCTAAAAGTCCTGCTGAAACTTGTCCACCAGAGGTAATCCTACTAGTATCTGAAATACAATGGATTAGCTTCCGATATTACAGCAACACACACACCACCACAGTACAACAAACTGGTTAACACGTGTTGGCTTGAATTTTACTTCAGTTGCCATTGAAATTAATGACTGAAAACTTTATGAATAGCAGTGGAACACTATCTGATATAGTGACAGAAGAGAAGCCCCTCAGGCTGGAACCAAACCAACTGCTGTCGAGTCAATTCCAACTTATAGCAAACCTACAAGAAAAGTAAAACTGCTCCTTAGTGTTTCTGAGATTGTAAGTCTTTACCATGCAGTTTAATCAGGCCAACTGACTGGAAAAGATCCATATCTTTGTCCACTGCAAAGAAGGGCGACCCAACAGAATATAACAATGTTCTAACTATATCATTAATATCACATACAATCAAAAATTTTTAAGATAATTTAAAAATGACTGCAGCAGTATAATAATAAGGAGCTGCCAGAAATTCAAGTTAGAGACAGACTAGGATGTGGAGCAAGGGACACCACTAATGACATCAGATGGATGTTGGCTGAAAACAGGGAATACCAGAAAGATGTTTACTTGTGTTTTACTGACTACCCAAAGACATTCTACTATGTAGATCACATTGTGAAGACTGGGAATTTCAGAACACTTCATTGTGCTCATGTGGAACCTATACATATACAAGGCAGTCATCTGAACAGAACAAGAGACTATTACATGGTTTAAGAATCAGAAAAGGTGCGTCTCAGGTTATATCTTTACACCATACTTATTCAATCAGTATGCTGAGCAAATAATCCAAGAAGCTGGACTATATGAAGACCATGGCATCATGACTGGAGGGAGACTCATTAATAATTTACAACATGCAGATAATACAACCTTGCTGCATGTGAAGAGGACTTGAAGCACTTATTGATCAAAGACTAAACCTTCAGTATAGATTCCACCTCAATATAAAGAAAACAAAAATCCTTATGACTAGACCAATGAATAGAATCATCATAAACAGAGAAAAGATTGAAGTTGTCAAGAATTTCATACTATTATATTCATAATCAACACTCATGAAATCAGTAGTTGAGAAGTCAAAGGATGTGTTGCATTGGACAAATCTACTACAAAATATCCCTTTAAAGTGCAAAGATTTCACCTTGAGGACTAAGATAGGCCTAACACAAGCCATATTTTTCAATTGCCTCATTTGAGTGGGAAAGCTGGACAAAAGAATAAGATCGGAAAAGAACTAATACTTTTGACTATGATATTGTTGTTAATTGTCATCAAATCTATTCCAACTCACAACAATCATATATGGAGTTTCCAAGAAGCGGTTGGTGGGTTTGAACCACCAACCCTATGATTAGCAGTCCAATCCTTATTCCAATACCACAGATATTGGCTAAGAATTTTGAAATTACCATGGACTACCAGAACAAATCAATCTTGGAAGAAGTGTAGGCAGGATGCTCTGCAGAAGTGAGGATGGTGACACTTTGTCTCACATACTTTTTATCATAATATATGGTTGTTGTTTTTTTAAAAACGCCTTCCCCATCACCCAAATTAACATATGGATTGTTCTCTCTTCTCTCCCACCTCTTATAACCATGTTTCTTTTAGCATGAAAACTTTTTAACTTTTTACAATAGTGGTATCATACAATATTTGTCCTTTTGTGATTGGCTAGTTTCATCCAGCATAATGTCTACCAGGTTCATCCATGTTATGAGATATTTTACAGATTCATCATTCTTATTCTTCTTATTTTTTTTTTACTAGGCAAAGAATTTTATTAACACTTCAAATTTATTCCCAGATTTCTTCAGCATTAATTGGCTGCAAAGAATGAATTATGTATAAGCAAAAACTGAAATGAGCTGCAATGTCCAAGAGCTTGGGCTTAAAAATATTAGAGATCTAGATTTTATCAGATCCATAAACAAAACAAATTGAAAAAAGTCATAAAATAGTAGCTCCAAGTAACTTCTTCAAGTCTTATCTTCTTCAGAAGTCAACTCTAATCAGTTAGCCTCATTCTTGGATGCCTCATTAAAATTCTCCACAAGATCTGGGACTTCATCTTCATCATCCTCTCCAATAACAAGACTGTTTGGGCAGAGCTTCAGCCAGTCTTCTTAAATTAGTAAGACTGTCTGCGCCAAGCTGGTTTGAGGTGCTGGAAAACATTTCTGTCAGCTGCATTGTCTCAGCATGGCCAGTAATGGTGAAAGTGTTGGCTACCAGTGATGCCTGAACTTTACGATTGTTAAAGTGGATCACAGTTCCTTGGTGTGTGAAAACATATTCACCTCTTCAATACCAGAGATATTATTTACCCCCAATTTCTCTAAGGAGAACTGAAGTTTTTATCATCTGCTGGGGCTGTTCTATGAACCACCATCTTCTTTCTGTGAGCAGTTCCTTTCCCACCAATGCACACTTCTGCCTGCAGTTTGGCGAGTTTTTCCCGATTCATGATCATTTCTTTCATCATGTCAGAGCGGAAATGGGGCCGTGCAGGAGACTAGGGCTGGCACTCAGGGGGTCTTTGGCAGACCAGCTGCGATTAGGCACACACAGGCGGGGATGCAAGATGGCAGCTAAAGTAATCATTATTCTTCAACTTTGGCTAGTATTCCATTGTATGTATGTACCAAAGTTGGTTTAACCAGTCTTCTGTTGATACGCATTTAGGCTGTCTCCATCTTTTTGCTACTGTTGAGGGGTACATATATGTATTAGTGTCATGGCTCTCATTTCTTGAGAATATATACCAAATGAAGAGCTTACTGAGTCATACAGTACTTGCATTTCCAGCTTTTTGAGACAGCTCCATACTATACTCCACAGTAGTTACACCACTTTACAGTTCCTACCAGCAGTGTTGGAGTGTCCCACAGTCTCCACACTCTCGCCACCATTTGCTGTTTTCCATTTTCATGAATTTTATTACTGCTAGGGAAAGATATCATCTCATTGTTGTTTTGATTTGCATTTCTCAAATGGCTAATGACTGTAAGCATTTCTTCATATGCTGTTGGCAGTCTGAGTGTCTTTGGTGAAGTATCTGTTCATGCCTATTTTTAAACTGGAGTATTTGTCTTCTTATTGAGGTGTTAAAAGTGTTCTATGAATTTTAGAACATAGTACCTTGTCTGATATGTCATTGTCAAAAAAATTTCCAGTCTCTGAGTTCTCTTTTTACTCTTTTGGTGAAATCTTTTGATGCACATAAGTGTTTAATTTTTAGGAGGTCCCAGTTATCTGTTTTGTCTTTTACTGTTTGTGTTTTTTTCAGTTATGTTTGTAGCATATTTATGTCAAGTATCAAAGCTCTAAAGTTTGTTTCTATTTCTTCATTGACAATATTTATAGTCCTAGATTTTACATTTAGGCTCATCTCACATACTTTGGACATGTTATCAGGAGAGAAAAGTCTCTGGAGAAGAACATAATGCTTAGTAAAGTAAAGGGTTAGCAAAAAAAAAAAAGAGGGAAACCCTCAATGAAATGGACTGACACAAGGGCTGCAACAATGGACTCAATCAAACAGCAACAATTTTGAGAACTGGGCAGTGTTACATTACACTGAGTCACGATGAGTTGGAACCAACTCAATGGCACCTAACAACAACATAGGATGGTGGCTATACAAAAGTCAAGAAGCAGTGCAAACACGAGGACAGACAACTTGAAGAGAAAATGGTCCATGACAAAAGGAGCCTTACAGATTTTGATATTATGCTTGAGAAGCCAGAAGAAAATAAGAGTGCAATGAAGACACACAATTCAAGGGGGGAAAAAAAGAGGCAATTAAAGAAAAGTCCAGAAAAAATAAAAGGTTCTATAAAAAAGAAAATTTAATCATTGCATAATGTATGGTTTACATATTTACATAGCCACAATATGCAAAAGAAAAAAGCAATGCTATCTTAATTTACAAAGAATCACTGTAGGACCAAAAATTCATAACAATACTGGAACACAGGAGAGAGGAGAAATAGGAATGGAGGTATATGAACTATTCCAGGGGGCGTCATAAGTTCATGGAAAAAATGCATTATCTTTTCATTCCATTTTTCCATGAACTTTTTGAATTCCCTCATATGTATGTCCACTGCTATCGAGTTAATTCTGACTTACAGCAACCCTTATAGGGCAGAGTAGAATTGGCCCTTAGGATTTCTGAGGCTGTAAATCTCTATGGAAGCAGACTACATCATCTTCCTCTCACAGAGCAACTGGTGGGTTCAAACCACTGACCTTTCATGAGTTTGCAGCTCAATGCTTAACCTACATTGCCACCAGGGCTCCTTATAAGAACTATACTTACAACTCAAAGTTAATAAGCAATGTCTATTATTGAATAAAGAAGTGCTGGTGTGGTACTATAGGATAAGCACTGGACCACAAGGTCAGTTTGAATCGCAAGACTGGCGGTTCAAACTTACTAGCTGCTCCTCAGAAACCCTATACAGGGTCACTATGAGTTGGAATCGACTCGATGGCACTTAACAACATTATTGAATAAATCCATAAATATCAGCATAATCACACTATTTAGAGACAGGGTAGCAATTCAAAGAATAACTACAACTAGAAATAGTTCTCAAGAGTTTAAAATTCAGTCCCTTTGTTTAATAGGGCCTAGGTAGGGAAGGAAGGACCAGGGACAGGTGCTTTTCATGAAAAGTTCTTTCCTATTTTAACTATGTGCTTTATTATTGTGATCTACTGAGAAATATTATCTAAATGACAGGAATGAAGAGACCAGTCAGATGCTGTAGAATGATCACAAGTAACTATCACTTGCCTCCACCTTGATGGCACATCGTCCAATAGCTCGCACAGCTTTACGAACAAAGTCAACATCTACTTCTGTGGCATACTCCTTCAGCTCTGCCAGAACCTGTGAAAAATCCAGGAAGTGGGCAGTCATTAAGGATTCCAAAAAGCAATTTCATGACCTTCCTCTGAAGGTCAGATCTTAGGACCTAAGTCATTATAAACTTGAGTCTGCTGAAGTCTGACCTGAGCAATGTTGGCTTGGGATGCCAAACGAATCATGATGTCTAGTTTCTCAAGTTTAACATAGATGGGATCGTTATACTTCACAAAGAAGACTTTGATTTCTTGCTTCAAGATTTCAGGCCTACGGCACACAGAAACACAAGAAAGGTGAAGGCATATACTGACAGATTCTTCTGAGTCTGTATTGATATCTAATCTGTGCCATCTCCTCTTACCCCCAAAAAAGTCACAAACTTCCTCTACACCCCTCTATTCTTTTTAGTTTCATCTATTTTCAACTTTTTTTTAAAGGGTCAGGATACATGTTGCCATGTAGAACTGGAATAACAACCCAACTTTATGCTACAAACAGCACCACGTTATTAAACAGTCAATGGCAATGGGTTTGGTTTTATATAGATAGCATACCAATGAACCCTGGTAGTACAGTTATGTAAGGACCAAACTGATTTTACCTGATTTTGCCTACCTAGAGACTGCTTGACTAAACTCTAGTCAGGCTCAGGAAAGCACTTTAAATAGACAAGGCCTCAGTTTTTAGTTCCTTCCAGAGACAAGGTCAATCTCCATTCTGTACATTAGCCTGAACACGTCCTCTAGCTCCAAGAAAATGATATATGTATAAATAGCCAGGCAGCTCAAGGCCAGAGGCCAGATGTTTTCCTTTACCCTAGCCTAAGAACAAAGACCACGGGTCCTGACCAATTAAACTGTAACATCTCATAGTTTGCCAATTGTTAACCAATCCAAAGATTGTAATGCTGAGAAACCTGAGCTGTTTGAAAACTCTATAAAAACCCTGCAGACAATGAATTCAGGGCTCTTTCCCTATTCCGATGCGTCGGATAAGGTTAGAGACCTGGCTCGAGCTTGAATAAACTTCCCTTATGTATTTGCATCGGTACACGGCTCCTGGGTGGTCTTTGGGGACCCCGAATTCTGGGCATAACAGTTATTAAGCACGAGGCTGCTAATACACCAGAAAGAGATCTTTCAGAAAACATTGTAGAGCAATGCCTGGTACTTACTCTAGAAACATTTCAGTATCAATTATTGCTGCCATACATTATTTTCATTTCCCCACAATAAATAGAGCCTAACATTAGCCTATTTAGGATTGATATTATTAAGCTAAATTTAACATTACAAATACTTTAATCACCAATTCACTACTTCCGAACCTTTTCTGGACAATTAAGTTGATGTTCCTCAAGGCTACGTACTGCACCTCAGGCTCCCCAGACAGCAAAGTGACAAGTGGAGGGGCTAACTTCTTCAGCAGCATATTGTAGTAGTCAGAGTCCTTGGGTAACAACTCTAGAAATTTCATTAAGACTTTTACAGCTGAGAGTACCACTGCTGAGTTGGCATGAGATAGCCGGGGTGTTACCCGCTCACAGATGCTGAGGGCAGAAAAGGAAAATTAGTGTCTTGCATTATCTTTTTGTTTTTTGGGTTTTTTTTTTTGTACTCAATCCATTCTATAAGGTAATGTGTCAGAGTCCCATGACCCAAATATCAAGAAATGAGAGAATCGGTTAGGAAAGCCAAAGCTCCATGCTTAGGTAAAATTGAGATCCAACACGCAGAAGCCTCATTCCCAGCAAACTACAGGCAGAGCAGGAACATCAGGAAACCAGCCATAAGGGATGTTCATAACGGAAGCAAACAAACTAGCAATACCCAAACACTTGCAGCTCACACCATTTACCATCTTGTTTTATAATCTGTCAGTCTCCCCACATTATATATAAAGGTTCCCTGCCTCTCCTCAACCTATAGGAAGTCAAATTAAGCAATCTGAGGGTTATTTCGTAGGGATAATAAAGAGCAATGAACTTCTGGTTGAAGGTTTCACTATGAGATGCAGGAGGAGGTGGATTGGCAGAGAAAACTACCTAACCCCTTGTTCAAGATTATAACAGAAACTTTGAAAAGTCTTTTACTTTTTTAATATTAAAAAATCATTGCAGTTAGAGGAAATGGAGGTAAATACTGTTATCTGATGATACATGGAGGGGATTGCAATCATTTAATGAAGCAAAATATTTGATTTGTTGAATGCAAAACTGATGATCTGCTCTGTAAACCTTCACCCAAGTCACAATAAAAAAATTGTAAAAAAATGTTCATTATTCTTCCAACCTTTTGTACTTTTCCTAGGCCATGCCATCTGCATATAAATGCCTTAAGAAATCTTATCTATTTAATTATCTATTGAGGATTTTTCAGAAATTAACTTAATTTTAATAGCTCTTCAACAGTATGAGTGGCCAGCTGACTATATTCAATTAAGGATTGAATGTGTTTCTCTCTCCTTTTCCTGTAAATCCAAGGCAGACCCCAGATATTTATACAAATATTATCGTCTCAGTGAAACATATTTTAAAAACTACAATCTCTCATACCTAAATGCCCAGCATTTCTTAGATCATTTCCCTACCTTTCCTTTCTCTTTAGAATGTATCACCATCCAACATGTTATAAACCAAGTAATTTTGCTTACTGTCTCCCACACCTCAAGTAAGTGCTCTATGTCCACCACTGTAACTTCAGAGCCCAAAAAAGTACCTGGCACATAGCATGAATTCAATTTATAATTGCTGAATGAATGAGTGTGATGCATCATTAACCAACAGAAAATAAAACTGTAGGTTAAGTTCTTTCCAGAAGATATTTGAAATTCAATGATGGAAAGAAACTATCCAGGTAAGCTAAGTCCAGAGGGAACAATGTTTCCCAGCCAAGGGAAGAGCACTTACATTATAGTAGCTTGGGAATCAGCTTCAGCCAGGCAAGGAAGGTTCTTATCTACCATAATTAAAATATGTCAACTTTAATGAAGATCCAACAATTCTTCAAAAGCACTCTGCCTAGTACCCAAAAAACCCACGGCCCTCGAGTCAATTCTGACTCAGAGTGACCTTAAGTAGGGTTTCCAACATTATAAATTTTTACAGGAGCAGAAAGCCGCCTCCTCTTTTTTCCTTGGAGCAGCTGGTGGATTTGAACTGCTGACCTTGCATAGCAGCCCAATGCATAACCCACTACAAACTACCAGGGTTCCTTTGCCTAGTACAGTGTTTGTATATACAACATGCTCAATAAAAATTGGTGATAATTACACCTCTAAACTAAAATGTGTATATGTGCATATGCAATTTAGTAGTTCGTTTCTGATACTCAAAGACAATTTCTAACACTAAGGTGTTAGAAGATTGTGCTGCTACTATCAGAATAATAATCCAGGTGTTCCTTCCAAAATTTGCTCCAAATTCAGATGAATGATTTCCATACTTAGAGAAAAGCATCTCATATTCTGCTCTCATCCCTAGGAGTCAACAGAATTTCTCTAGTATTGAATTACAGGTATAGTTAAGCTCAAAAACTAGTTATTTAGCTGCTTACTAACTACCCATCTAATAGAATGAAATTTTTGCTTTTTTACGGAGAAAGACAACAACATTTGTTTGCCAAATGGCCAGAAAGTGTTGACGATGTGAGACAATGATGATGAGGATTTTAGCAGGTGGTAATTATACTATTCAAACAAGAAATGAAAACCACACAGCTCTTAAGAGCATTTGGACATGGCTTACTCCGCCATCTAAAATGTCCCTAATACCAGTGAGGAGACACCTTAGAGATAACAATACCTACCTACCCCACAAGCGACTGATCTTCCTCAATATTACAAACCCTTATTCTAACAGCAGACGCTAGAACATAAGGAGTGACGCAGGGTGCTCCCTGATCCTTACCTCTGAGCCTCTCGGTCATCTTTCGGGTTGTAATTAGATAAGCAGTCCAGGATGAAAATCTGGCCCCATTCAGTGCACTCATTCAGGGCTGTCAGCAGTTTATTAATGTTTTGTGGATTCAGATCGAGAAGATTGCTGTTTGGGTGAGATTCACTGATTTCAGATAAGGCTGCTACAGCATTAGCCACCACCTGGAAAAGAAGAGATATGACCTAGATTCACCAAGAATAGTATAACTAAGACAAATATATCATCAATTTTCTCAGGATCACTTCATAGGTCTAATCCATTCTGGCACATTTTACCTATCAAACTGAAAAAGAGAAACTGCTTTCAAAATAGACACTAAACTGCCAGTGATGGCATTATATAGCTTTCTAGTGCTCAGGCAACTACGCATTAAAACAATTCATATATTAGCAGAATTGCACACATGATCTACTATATTAAAGCATACATTTACCATTTAACAGTACTCAAAACTATCAGCATAAGCTATATGAACAGCTCTAAAAAAACAGTGAAATCTAAATATGAAATATATGCATTAGACAACAGAGAGAAAACTTAAGGGCAAATAATTTTACCGGTATCTGCATGTGTTTATAGTTAGGGGACTTATACCATTAATCTTATCTTAGATTATAAGAAAATGTGGGGTTAAGGTCCTAGTTTACTAATATGTAATGTTGAAAAAGCACATCATCTCTGCAAAGTTTAATCTCGAAGGACCTGTGACAAGATACAGATCTAGGCAAACACACTAAATGGACCCTCTACAACAAAGATGTTAAGTGCCGCTGAGTCAGTTCTACAACAAAGATAAGGGAAACCAAATAAAACATACATAGATGAAAATTTTGGCACCCTGAACTTCAAAAAAAAGGTTAAGAGAGGTAAATGGAGTGCTTGCTGGGAGGAGAGGTCAAGCAGGAATGGCAAGAGAGAGAGACTGACTGGAGAATGGCTGGCCAGACCTGACTCCACCATCTTGGCTGTGGAGGGAGGCCTGGCAAAGCAGATTCACACACAGGTGCTGGGAAAGGTGTGATTTCTTCTTTTTACCCACACTCCCCTGGTTACCAGAAGTATGGCTAGCTCCTACCCTCAACCACCCCCAGTGTAAGACACTGCTCTCTGGAAGCTCAGAGATACGTGATTGGGAGCCACACTAGTATGAGATGGGGGCTGGCTACACTGCTCTGGTGTACCGCATTGATTGATGCTTGGATTCATGTGGGCTCGGCTCCAGACCTACAAAACCGAAGAATCACCAGATCAGCATGTAACCAGTCACCTTGCCTCCAGATTCTCTGTGGTTCTGATGGATACCAGCTCCATCAAGGGCCCCTGAAAACTACTTCTGGATTGAGTGTCCTGAACATAAATAACACCAAGGCCAACAGGAACTCCATCAAGGGCCAGGGCTCTGCTGTCTCATCTCTCTTCCACAACCACCTCCAGAGCACCTTAAATGGCAGTCCCCCCCACCGCCCCCACCCCCCTGCTGAGATTTCTTTTTCTTTCTTTTTACAAATACAACAACCCCACAATGCCCTGGAGACAACAGATAATTTTAGCTCACAAGAAGAAACAATCGAGAATGGCTCAAACAAATGACAGAAATGCTTATGAAAAACAAAAGGTAATGAAATGAGCTGAAAAAGAATTCAAAAGAATGTTAATTAGAAAACTTCAAAGGATTGATAGAAAGATTCTTTGTTAACTGATGGTACATGGAGGGGATTATAATCATTGTAAGGAAACAAAGTATATGATTTGTTGAATGTTAAACTGATGATCTGCTCTGTAATCCATCACTCAGTTCAAAATAAAAAGTTTTAACAAAAATTCAACTTCCTCATGTGAAAACTGAAGGTAATTTAATCTACCTCACAGGTTAGTTTTCGTTTGAGAATAAAATCAGTCAATGACAAATGTAAACGTAGTTTCCACAAAGCTTTACATAAACTTAAAGTGGTAATATTACCATAATTCATCTAGTTGCATTTTTTTCCACATTAACAGTTCTGAGGTTGGAATGCATTTTATAGCCAACAGTATGTCAGTTTAACAGGCAGTACTTTTCTTTCCAGGTTATACCTAAAATGATATTGTATCTCATAAGCAGTAGCATCTTGGATTCAATGAAATATGGTGCAAACTATGATAAATGAAAAACTGCTACGTAAGAAAGTGTATTTATATCCTGATTAAATAGAATTGAGAATCCACATTAGTTGCAAGAACATTCAACTCTGTATAAAAATTACAGATTATTTCTAAAATAAATAATAAATCTACAATGAATATTTAAAGTAATTGTAAAAAAAAAAAACCTTCAAAAATAAAAAACAAACAAAAAAGCTCTTCAAAAATAAAAAAACAAACAACAAAGAGAACACAAATGTTTTTACTATGACCCTATTCATAGTGAATTTAAAACCAGTTTGCAATGAGACTCCCAGTAGCTACTAAAGATCGGCAAGGTGAAGTTGAATATATATATATAATTTAAGCATAAAATGTGATGGGAGATAGCAGTGTCAGCAATTTGTGCATTGAGAAGCCTTTTATAAAAACTGCCAATGTATTATTAGTTACTACTTAAGTCCCTTCCTTGAAAAGCTAAGAGTTGTATGGCTATTCTTTTGTAAACAAGCAGCAACATAATGAGGACAATATACAAGAAGAGAGAGGTTGGCGGAAGAATGAAGGCAGATGAAGACACAGGGAGATATGCAAGGGACTCCTGATGTGGTGCTGTAGGGCTGGGCTGCGAAACACAAGGTCAGCAGTTCAAACCCACCAGTTGCCCTTTTGAAAGCCTATACAGGGTGGCTATGAAGAAGGTCCTTAACAACAAAAAAGGGGATAGAAGTAAATAGTGATATATAGACAACCATGGAATAAAATGTTCTCTGGGCAGATACACGGACAGAGCCATAGGCTGAATGGGTATGGAAAGAAGAGTAGGAGTATCCCCACAATATATGAGTTTGAAAGAGAGTATCTGTACCTGTTGAACATTTATAATAAATAGCATTAACTGGGGGGATCAAAAAGTGAAAGAGAAGCAGCATAATGGCTATAAATAGGCTATTATTTCAAGATCTACATGACCTACATAGTCTATAAATTACCCCAGCATATGAGTTTACCTAAAAAATGAATGACTTGAAAAATAAGTATCCATTGTTAGTTAGAGAGTAATAACAACACAGGTAGAATTGGTAGAATCATCTCCAGCTATTAACTTGGAATTCAGAACAAAAGATTCCAATATGAAAAATCAAAGACTCGCTTGGTAATATGATTACGGGTACATTTTATTGTTTTGAAGACAAATCAGGCATAATCATCTAGTTCAACTACTGGACAGCAGCCAATATGAGGTCTTCTGGCTTAATTTTTGTCTGCTAACTTCACCATCAAGCACCGATAAAGTAATAATCTCCACCACCAGCTCAGTGCTTTCACATGAAGGCAAAACATATTTTATTTTCTGTGCACAATACATTAGGCAGCTCTGATTAACCTATTACAACTTGCCACTTCTGCCAATCAAGACCCTTTCATGTTAAAAAACAAAAATTTAAAAATAATGTCTGTTCATAGGCAATGTAGAAGAAGACAAAGTGAGAACTTTAGAAATTATAAACAGCAAAGGGGAGAAAGGGAACAGAACAAGATGCTGAGCAGATGAGCAATTAGAATTCCTCTGTTATTATCATAGGCAATTGGAAATTAAACTAAGTGTATAATGCAGTTAATGAAGTATCTGTTGTGCTGTTTAAAATGGCAATTTCTACTTATTATCACATTAAAACAAGAAAGGAAATAAGAGAAAACTAAGTCCAATTAAAAGATTCAGAGAGATCAGATCACAAAATTGGCAAAGCCTATATTCCACCAGAAGTGACCACTGAGGTGACGACTGACCAGATGATATGCTACTATTCCTCCCACCAAGGCCAAATTATTTTCTAGAACTCTCTGAAGTTCCTTCCAGCCTACCTTTCTACTTTCATCTCCTAATAATCACATTCAGACTATTCTGTTCAGGAACTTACTGGGGCAGGCCTAGAAAGCTGTTCTCTTGGTCAGTAAGCCATGTTTCTCTTACTCTTTGAATGGAAATTTCAAAAAAGTCAGTCATACAGAATCTAAACTAGGCAAAAGCACAACTTCATCTTGGTGGCTAAGGGAGATAGGGAAGGAAGGAACACTTACCAATATCTATACTTTGTATCTTTGGAATGCTATACTATATATATGTATTGTCCATTTTAAGAAATAAACTTTGATGTTGTTTTTGTTGTTATGTGCCGTTGAGTCGGTTCCGACTCATAGCTGTAAATCTTTACGGGAGCAGAAAGCCTCATCTTTCTCCCACAGAACAGCTGGTAGTTTTAAACTGCTGACCATGAGATTAACAGCCCAATTCGTAACCAGTATACTACCAGAAAAGTCAGTCATACTGAATCTAAAGTAGGCAAAAGCACAACTTCATCTTGGTGGCTAAGGGAGACAGAGAAGGGAAGAACATTTATCAATATTTATACTTTGTATCTATACTATGTACATATATTGTCCATTTTAAGAAATAAACTTTAAATAAATTCAAATTTAAGATTCACTCTCCTAGAGAGCCTTCTCCAAGCAGCATTTCAGCATCACAAAAGCGCAAATCCAACCCTTGGAGTAACTGCCGTGATTTACAAGTATTAAAATAAAGATATGTATTATATCTTGTCTGTAAACCTTCACTCAATTCAAAATTAAAAAGTTTTAAAAAAAAGTATGCCTCATTCACTTGAACCACTGCTCTTAATTTGAATTGTTAAGATTACTACCATAATGTTTTTCCCCCTTGAAACCTCTTAGGAAATAATGCCCCACACATACACACACACACAAACAATGACTTCCTAATGATAAGCTCAGAAGTGTTGTTGTTGTTGTTGTTGGTGTGCTGCATAGGTTTCGACTCATCGCGACCCTGCATAGGTTTTCCAAAGCTGTCAATCTTTACAGGGAACAGAAGGTGGTTTCCTCTTTCTCCCGCAGATGGTGAGTAGCTTCAAGCTGCTGACCTTGAGGTTACGACCCCGGCTCATAACCACTACACTACCAGAGTATTGTTGTTGCTGTTAAGTGTTATCAAGTCAGTTCCAACCCATAGTGACTC